TTGTATTTACATTTCATAAAATTAAATGATAATAATTAATATATAACAAATTAACTTTCATTATTTTTAATTAATTATAAAGATCAATTAAATTAGGTATATTTATAGTTGGTTAAAAGTGTAATTATATTATTGTAATATATATAGCTAGATTTATGATATACGGACCGTTAATAGTCCATATGAGCTATACGGACTACTAACGGTCTGTATAATATATAAGGATCATTGACCGTTCGTATAGTATATACGGACCATTATTGGTTCGTATAATATATATGGATCGTTCATGGTCCGTATACACCATACGGACTGTCAATGGTCCAAACATGATATACGAACCGACAAGGTCCATATATCTTGAAGTTTGCTCCCCCCCCCCTAAGCTCTTATTACAGCCATTCAAACATAATTAAAATAATTATATTATTTAGGATTAAATATCTAATTAAAGTATTTAATAAAATAAAATTAATTGTTAATATAAAATAAATAAAATTTTATAAAGATAAAGTAGAAAATATTAACAAAAACACATACAATATACAAAATATTATTATAGTATTCAATAAATTAATTTCAATACAAAAAATAAATTTAATTAAGAGCATCCTTAAACTAAAAAAATAAAAAAGTGTAAGAGAAGAAGCTTGTAGATTTTGGACACTATATTTGGACCAATGACGGTTCGTATAACCTATTTGGATCGTAATTGGTCCGAATATGTGTCTAGAATCCACCTTTTTCACCCGACGCTTGTCTTGCACCTGATTCATTCTGCTCTGGCTTGAACCGTAAGATTTTAAATGCTTGCATGCTAAAGAGGCTAATCTTAACCAAATAATCTCAAGCCTCCACGTTTATGGCTTCACAACAACGCGACCCAACCTTAAAGTTAATAGCCGTGTACCTACATGTTTGTGATTTTGCAATGATGTGATCCCATGCTACCGTTAGATAATTTTAGCTTGACAATCAATGGTTTTGGGGTCAGGGTGACTGTGGTGTTGATGTGCATGCAATTGGCTTTCATAGGAATGGAATCGAGGCACGAGAGGGTGGTGATGTCCTTAAACTAAAAAAATAAAAAACTATAAGAAGAGGAGCTTCTAGAGTTTGGACACATATTCAAACCAATGATGGTTTGAATATCAGATACAGATCGTCATTGGTCCGAATATGTCCAGAATCCACTTCTTTCACCTGACGCCTTATCCTGCGCCCAATTCATACTGCTCTCATTTAAGCTGTAGGATTCCAAATGCTTGTGTGCCAAAAAGGCTAATGCTAACCAAATAATCACAAGCCTTTGCATTTGTGGCTTTGCAACGACACGACCCCAACCTTGAAGTTAATAACTATGCACCTACACATTTGTGATTTTGCAATAATGTAACCCCATGCCACCGTTTGATAATTTCAGGTTGACAACCGATGGTTTCGAGGTTGTGGGGGACTGTAGTGCTGATTTGCACGCAATTAGCTTTCGTAGGAACGAAATAGAGGCACGGGAGGGTAGTGATGTCCTTAAATGAAAAGAATAAAAAAGTATAAGAAAAGAAACTTTTAGATTTTTGACACATATTCAAACCAATGATAGTCTGAGTATCATATACGAACCGTAGTTGGTTCGAATATGTGTCCAAAATCCACTTTTTTTCACCTAATGCCTTATCCCATGCTTAATTCATTTCGCTCTCATTTGAGCCGTAAGATTTTGCATGCTTGCGTGCCAAAGAGGCTAATCTTAACTAAATAATCTCAAGCCTTTGCGTTTGTGGCTTCACAATGACACGACCTAACCTTAAAGTTAATAACCATGCACTTACACGTTTGTGATTGTAATATCCCAAATTTTTGGGAATTTTATCATTTAAGTTAGGGACTTGATTGTGAGAAAAGATTGTTTTGGAGTCTAATGTGAATATTTCAAAAGTTGAGGGACCTTAAAGAGGGAAATTTTGGATAAGGATCAGCTTATTTCTTTTTCCTTCTTCTCCCTTCTTCCGCTCGATTCTGCTCTTCTTCTTTTCCGTCTCCCCTGCAGCCGAAGAAGACCCAGGCCCCCGACAGCCTCTTCTTGAAAAACCAGTGAGAAGCTTGTGGATTTTTCTCCTCTTTTCTTGTTCTAGAACCCAAAAATTTCCCCCACCCCTCTGCAGAATCCGGATCTGTTCTGCTCTGTGTCTTCCTCCCTTGCTGTCCGCGAATTTCTGTTGGTGTGGGTGGCGAATTTTTCGGTTTTTGGGTAAGAAGCAACCCGAAATTCCTCTTTTCTTTCTTGAATTGGCTTGGGTTTGCCTTAATTTCTCTTGTTTCTCCAGATTTTGGGTAGCCCCGTGAATTGCCCCCTGCATTGCCACCGGCCTCTTTCCCCCCTGCCATGTCCGGTTTGCTTGCTGGAATTCTGGTAAGTGGCAGCCCCATCTAAGTCCTAATTTACCCCTTAATTGTTGAATTTTGTCCATGGATTGGCTGCCCCTGTGATGTCCGAATTTTACAGAAAAATAGGGAGGAATTCCGGTAGCCTTTGAACATGTTTTAAGCTTGGTTTAAGTGTAAATTAGCTTGATTTAGATTGTTGTGATTTTTGGAGAGAAATCCCGTGAATTAGCTAGTGTTTTGGCCAATTTTGGAAGTGCAGTTACTGTTCACGTCGGGTACTGTTCACATTATCGCTGTTCACATTATCACTGTTCACGCACAAATGGCCAACAATTAACGGGGATTTAAATGTTTAGTTTGTGATATAAGAACGAATTTGGAGATATCTGATCATGTGGCTATTGATAGGAATAGCATCGGGATTAGGGGTGATTCTAATGAAGTTTTCAGTGTGAATTTGTGATAGTACGATAATTAATTTTTGGATATTTTGATTAGGTTCTTGATCGTTCTGTCAGTTTAGCACCGAGATCGAGTCTTCGGTTTTATGTGAGTGAGGTAAGTAAATTATGGTAACGCCCTTTGATTTTTAAAAGCATGTTTTGATTTGTTTTTGAAGCGGTGGCGAGACTAAACCCGTTTTACTCGAGCATGACTGATTTGAGGTGAAAGTTTTATGCTTTTCATTAAATTGAGCATGCCTACTTGAAATTTAATTGATTGTCCTGATGATCTGAAAGTGATTGTGATTTGTGATTTTTCTGTTAACTTCTGCCTATTTTGTTTCTGATATGGTCATGTTATTCTGTAACCCTGCTAGTGGGGGTTAAACGCTAGTACATGTCGACATGTTACTGGTAGAACCGGTTCGTTTCTGTTATCCTGCTAGTGGGATTATACACTAGTAATTTTTGTAGCCTGTCAGTGGGAGGTTTATAACACTGGCCGTGACCTATAGAGGAGACGTCTATTTCGCTCCCGTACTGTATCCATTTTCATGATTACACTTGTTGGCATGCTATAAGTTTTATTATGAGCCATCCATATTTACTTGCTGAGTTTATCTTATAGTTTTTCCTTGTCCACCATTTCAGGAAACGAAACCGAGGATGGGGAAACCACGGGAAGTGACGAGTTAGAAGGCTAGCCATTTTGTAAATTGAATATAGATTCTAAAAATAAATTATGATCTTGTAATCTAGAGTGTATTTGGAGATGTTATGGTATCAGAGCAGATTATGAAATTTGATCTTCAGTTTTTTTATGGTATCAGATTGTGGTATGATAAGTTCCGAACCTTGTGCATTTGTGGGACCCTCTCACGAGTGCACGGCGTCTGCCACGTCCCCGGATTTGGGTTCTGGGGCGTGACAGTGATTTTGCAACGATGTGACCCCATGACGTTGTTAGATAATTTCAGCTTAACAACCGATGGTTTCGAGGTTGAGGGTGACTGTAGTGCTGATGTGCATGCAATTGGCTTTCATAGGAACAAATTTGGGCATGGAAGGATAATGATGTCCTTAAACAAAAAGAATAAAAAGAGTAAGAGAAGAAGTTTCTAGATTCTAAACACATATTTAGACCAATGATGGTCTGAATATCATATACGAACCGTCCTTGGTCCAAATATGTGTCCAAAATCCACTTTTTCACCCAACGCCTTATGTCGTGCCCAATTCGTTCCGCTCTTGTTTGAACCGCAAGATTCCAAATGCTTCCGTGCCAAATAGGCTAACCTTAACCGAATAATCTCAAGCCTCCATATTTGTGGCTTCGTAACGACATGACCCAACCTTAAAGTTAATAATCGTGCACCTACACGTTTGAAAATTTGAAACAATGTGACCCCAGGCCACTCTTAGACAATTTTAGGTTGACAATCGATGGTTTCGGAGTTGGGGGGACTATAGTGTTGATGTGCACGCAATTGGTTTTCGTAGGAATGAAATCAAGGCACAAGAGGGTGGTGATATCCTTAGATGAAAAGAATAAAAAAGTGTAAGAGGAAAAGTTTTTTGATTTTGGACACATATTTGGACCAATGATGATCCAAATATCATATACGGACCGTCATCGATCCAAATATAACCAATTCTGATCATTTAAACGCTTTTTGGTCTAGTATTACATATTCAAACCGATTTCAATTCGTAAATTTGTGCCACCAAAATTTTACAGAAAAAATTAAATCCTTTTGTTGTTAGTTGGAGTTGGCGCTCATTTATTTATTTTTGGATTAATTTCGGTTCAAATAAACCCTATTTATTTACAACAACCCTCCCAACCTTTTCCTTATTTGTCTGATTTCTCTTCTTCCTCCCATCCCTTTCTGTTTTTTCTTACTATTTTCTCTCTCCT